TACTACTACTACTTCTACTGCTACTAAGAGTAATAGTAGTAGGTGGTCGTAGGGATCGTGGGCCTCAGAACTCGCTTAGTGAATTTAGTGTTGCAGCACAGGATAAACCCAGAAGGGCGGACGGGATCAATGCGGAGCAGAAGCGGAGGAGCATAAGAGAGACGGAAAGAACAGCGGAAAAGCAGAGAACCGGAGGAACAGAAAATCCAAGCAGACGAGCAGAGAAGCGGTAAAGCAGAGAAGCAGAAAAGGAAAGTGCGGACAAGCAGAAAACTAAAAGCAAGCAAAAGCGGCGGGTAGAAAGGGAAAGCCCAGAGGACCAAGGGACCAGAGGAGTGCGGAACGGGACCAGAGGGCCGCGGGCCAGAGGAGCAAGGGACCGGAGCGGCAGCAGAAAAAAAAAAATACCCAGACTAAAACAAAAGTAATTTGGTAGAAGCAATACAATTCCTCTCACAGAAGCTCGGCTCGCCGCGCAGTGCATGCACACGGCAGATTTACCGGCGTACAATATCGTTCAAGAAATCCCCATGCCGCTCTTCACAGTTGCAACAGCAGACTTCTCACATTCAACGGGCGTAGAACGGACACCTGCGCACACGCCTAGCCACAGACAGAGACAGACGAACCCCCAACGAGAAATGTCTACAGAAGTCAACTGACACCAGGCTACTTCATTTTCATTTCCTCTGCTAGGATTTCTACCATGCCTGGATGAAATCGTACGAAACAGATACACAGGCGTCTTTGAGGCTACAGGTACAGGCTAGGTAGAGAAGGCCTGGTCTGGCGGATTGGTCATGACCTCCGCGAAGCTCCCCGTGAGGCTTCCGGCCACAAAGCTCAGGGTGACCTCACAAGCTTCTTCCTCCCACGCCAGGCTTCGGGCTCATAGCAAGCGGGTCATAATCAGGTACTGGACCATACTGGACCTAGTACAAAGCCTCCACCAGTGAGAGACTGCGGCAGATCAAAAATCGTTGTCCTCTTACTTACATCATCACGAACATGATATTGGTCGTGCCGCTAGTGAACTAACTGCTAATCACTGATCACCGCTAATTTGTGTGTTCATGAACTGAAGATGGCCATGACAAATTAGGATCATGATGAGGATATTGATGAATGTAGGGATGACTATGCTGCTGATGATGATGGTGATGATATTGAAGTGCTCTCTACTGTCGCCACTTTCACATGGAGTCACGAGCCAGCATGTGCCAGAACAGAACCTTGTTGTGAGCCTCTGCTAAGCACATCGAAAAAAGGTTGTCCCGGTGATGTCGGCAACGACTTGGGCTCATCGGGTTTAAAAGCTCTTTCGCGGAAAACGAGCAAAAAAAGCGAACACGAAGCTACAACAAGCTAGAAGTGGAGTCGCCTGGGAGCTTCGAAGGCTCGGCACCGAGGCCAAGAGCGACGTCTTCGTGGGCCCGATCCTGAGAGCAGAGCTCCAACTTCGCCCTCTGCGGATGCGGGCGCCGGTGCGGGCGAGGCACGTTTGCAGCACGACCTGACCCGGAGCAAGGCTGAAGGGGCTCGGTTTCTCCGTCTGATGCAAGTCCCGCAGCAGTATCTTTCATCTACTGGGGCTCCAGCTCCATTGGCCAGGGACTTTCGCAGCACGCCCATCCCGACCTGGGAGCACGGAAGATCCATCAAAAGAGCACCTGAGCCTGAGACACCCTTCCCGGTCACTGGGCCGCGGGCGCCACTGAAGAAGCGCGGTGGGCCGCCCATCGCCCACAGCTCCTCGCAGGCCTTAGACAGGCTACCAGCGGAATAGCACCCAGGGACGCTCCAAGCTTACCAACTCGCATGGCACTGAATGTCCAAACTCCAACAGAAGCTTTCCTGAGCGATCAGCAGTGGCTATTCCAACATTGTTGGCAATCCTTGGCTGTGCCGCTTCCTGGTGTCACCTTCTATTCAAAATGACAGCCGTTTCGCCCGGTCTGGTCCAGTACAATGAATGCTGCTCACGAGCGCACGGTGTCACCAGGTGCACAAGGATGAAACACAAGAAAAGCCTATGCTAGACTGGAAGATGCCACTGTAGAGACAAGCTTGTGGAGGCACGTGGCTGGTAGTTCTTGATGACCACTGGTGGGTTGGCCAAGAACTCGCCCGTGCCCGCGGCCAACATGCTGATGCCAAACCTGTCGTATGTCAAAGTGTAATCAGGAGACAAGGCTCTGGGTCAATGGCTCGCTCGAGGTCAACTACCACTGGGTTTTACAATGGAACTTTATTCGCCCTGGAGACATGAAAGACCCGAGCACGGAAAAGAGCTGGGGTCCCCGGCGACACCAGCTTGTTGCCTGGACTGGCCACACCACCACAGGCACGCAAGAGACTGTTTGTTGGACATGCAAAGGCTTAATTTAATCAGGACATATCAGGGCGTGAGCATTGTGCTGGGCACGCGTGGGATCGTAACGAGACGTTGCCAAGATCAAACCTTCACCGATTCCAGTCTCCCTTGCTCGACTCAAAATGAGCCCTCTTCGAAAACCCTGAACATGGGACCGTGTCTACCTTGGGCTCCACATTGAGCCCGGCAGCAGCATCCGCTCCTGCTCTGAGCGGCTTTCTGCCACTTATCCAGCCGCTTCCTCGGCCGACATGGGGAGGTGTCCGGGGCGACTGGCTTTGCAAAGCGTGTGCAACTAGATGTCGCAGGACGGAAGCACCCCGCCCCCCGAAACATGCGCTGAGCTTCTGGAGAGTCATGTTGAGGATGAGCGTGATGCCGAAGCGGAAACCCTGCCTGACATGTCCGGATCGGATGTGCGCAGGGTTCAGGCAACATGTAAATGAACCGCTGCCGGGCGGCGCGAAGGAGCCCATGCAAATACCAACCTGAGATGAGCCCCAACTCGAGAATCCCGGCATCATCCAGCATCTGTCCCAAGCCATTCGGCGCCGGACGAAGTAATCGGAGAACTTGTCCGGCATCGGCTTGCCCACGTGCCGGAGCCTGAGATCGACATCTAGGCTCAGCACCCCAAGCTGCTGTTGGTGGGCACATGCTGACGAGCTTGTTTTGCTGTTCCTCTGCACGTACTCGACAGCTGGTACACGAGCCACACTACTTCCATGATTATGTTGGCCCGCACAAGACACTACGGAAACTCTCTTATTTCCTGTTCCACAAACG